ATCACTGTTGAGCACATACTAAATTAGGGATTTTAGACAAAGAATGAGATAATTTATCACTCTCAGATCATTCTTGGAAAAACTTCTAAAGCACTGTAAAACAAAAAGCAATGTTTGTTTTTTTTTTTAAATCAAAGTGACTATAAACATATAAAAATGCAGGTAAACATGTTATTTACTATAGGCAGCAACAACAGTAATAATTATTTCATGGGTTAAAAACAGTAGAACTAGAAGGTTAGAAAATATTATATGAAAGAGATGGGAGGTAATTCAACTTAACAAAATCTAAGCTTTTGTTTGCTCTGGAGGAGGGAGGAGAGCCTCACCAATTGAAACATGTTAAAAAGGCAAAGAGTAACTACTAAAGGAATAGTGTGTACTTTACATAGAATACCAAAAAAAAAAAGGAGAAAACCCAATCAATCCAACTGAAGGGAAAGAAAGGAAGAAAAGAGAGAGAGAGAAAGAGAGAGAGGAAGGAAGGAGGAGGGGAGGGAGGGAGGGAAGGAAGGAAAGAAGGAAAAGAACGAAGGAAGGAAAGAAAGAAGAAAGGAATAAAGAAAAAACATGAGGAATACAGAGCATATAAAATGATGGTAGAAATATTCCAAACTTATTGGTAAGCACCATAAATTTTTAAAGATTAAACTATCAGATAACAGAAATAATAAAAACTTCGAATCCAGCTACATTCTGTTTATAAAACAAAATCCTAGTGCAAAATAACGAAAAAGGGTTGAAAATGGAGGGAAAGGGGAAAATATGGCCAGCAAATATTACCAAAATAGAGCTAATGTACCTCTGCTATTAACAAAACAAATAGACATTAAGACATAAAGCACTTTCATGTATAAAGAGGGTTATTACATAGTGACAACAGGAATGATTTCTTAGGCAGCTATAATAATCATGAACAGGGATGTCCATGGTAACATAACTTCAAAATATAGAAAGCAAAATGAATTGAATGGCACAAAAACGTCCATAAGCCTGGTGAGAGATTAACTGACATCTAAAATAGACTGAAAATAAAGGTAGGTTTGAAACACAATTTGTATACTTTGTCCAAAGGACACACATTGATCCCTGTGCCCAGCTATTAGATAATATAACTTGCTTTCAAAAACATGTGGACAAGGACTGGAAATACAAAGCAAGTTTCCACAAACACTAAAATAGATGTGTTATACAGACCACAAGGCCATTTAATTAGACTTCAATAATAAAAAGGACGGCCTCAAATCCCATATATTTGGACATTTTAAAACATGATTTAAGCATTGACAGATCAAAAAATGGTAAAAACTAGAAACTCGTTAGAGATGAGTAAGAATGAAGGCCTTATATATATAATAAATTTAGAGATGCACTGGAATGCAGAGAGAAATGTATACCTAGACATATATGCTTATAGGTATATCTATATACATATAAAATGAACCTGAAAACCTAAGCATCAAATACAAAATATTAGAAAATAAAAAACAATGTAAACTCAAGAATCATAGAAGAAACATAAAACAAACATATCTCTGGCAGTATGAAAAGGGAGAGAGAGAGGGAAGGAGGCAAGAGGAAAGGGAGCAAGAGGGAGGATCAATTACAAGCTTTAAAAGGGGGCAAAATCACAAATATAGTGACATTTTTAATCAAAAGAAAACACTATCAACAATGCCTGCAATAACCTTGAAAAATGAGGTGAAATAGGCAGTTTTCTAAGAAATATAATCACCAAAACCATTTCAAAAGGAAAAAGAAAATCCAGAAATCTCTAACCACAAAAGAAACTAATTTCATAGTTGTAAATTTATACACACACGAAAAAACACACATATACAAATCCCACCAGTCACTAATAGTTTTATAAGTTTTACCAAATCTTCAAGAAACAGATACTGGATTCCATCTTTTATAAAATGCTACGGATATTACAGAAAGAGGGAAACTGTAAGTAATTTTGTGGCAATAAAATGACCTTAATAGGAAAGCCAAATGACAGTGCAAGGAGAAAAGTATTACCACTCTCCTTTTTGAGCATAAAAACAAAAAGTTCATGGTGTAAGTAAATTGAATTCAGCCATATGTGTAAAATATTATTACTTTTTTTTTTCCTGAGACAGAGTCTAGCTCTGTTGCCAGGCTGGAGTGCAGTGCCAAGATAACGGCTTGCTGCAACCTTCAGCTCCCGAGTTCAAGCAATTCTCTTGCCTCAACCTCCCAAGTAGCTAGGATTACAGGTGCCTGCCACCATGCCTGGCTAATTTTTGTATTTTTTAGTAGAGGCGGGGTTTCACCAAGTTGGCCAGGCTGGTCTCCAACTCCCGACCTCAGGTGATACACCCGCCTTGGCCTCCCAAAGTGCTGAGATTACAGGCGTGAGCCACCGCGCCTGGCCTGTTTATGACAATGAAGGTCCATCCTGAAAAAGCAAGTATATTTTCACATTACACATTCTATATACTATTAATAAATAATATATACTACATACAAAGTATGTAATATATACATACTATACATATGTAATATATACTACATATATTATGTATAATACATACACATATGCATTATATATTTATTTCATGAAAATAAAACCATGACATATACATGATTATAGATATCATGAAATATACAAACAATACATACGTATGATATGTATAGGTAATACATATATTATACATATCAAAACCCTGTCAGAATTCATAGAAATTAATAGCTAATTCCAAAATTAGTATGCAAGAGTAGAGTCAAGAATAACCAAGAAAACTCAGAAGTATTTTATATGTGTATATATATATTTCATGATTTAAAATTTTAAAAATAGTAATGTAACTTAACATGTTAACAAATTAAGGAAAATTTTTTTGTAATGGATGTAGAACTTTCTTATGAAATTCAACATCCATTTAGATTTCAACAATAACAATGGCAACAAAAACTCTTACAAAAGTTTTCTTTAGCCTCATAAATTGTTACTACTAAAAATCTACAGCAATTATAGAATTAATAGTGATGGTTGCACAACATTGTGAATATACTTAACGCTCCTGAATTATACACTTTAAAATGGTTCAATGGTAAATTTTATATTCTTTATATTTTATGACAATAAAAAAGTCCTTTAGCAAACATACTTAACATGTAATTATTGGAGGCACTTCCTTTAAATCAGGAATGAGACATGGTTGCCTAATCTCATTGCTTCTATTTAACGATGTGTCAGAAGTATAGTGCAATAAAACAGAAAACAATAATTAAGCATGGAGATTAGAAAGTAAACGTTTCACAAATGATATTATGGTCTATGCAAAAAGTCCAAGAGCATCCATACACAAACAAGTCAATCTCAAAGAGCATTTAGCAGCGTGTTGGATACAATATTCAATATACAGAAATCAGTGATACGTTCATATACTAATACTTACAAATTAGAAAAGTAGTTTTAAATATATACTATTTATGATAGAAGAAAAACTATGGGTATGTAGGTATAAATATATAAAGTTATAAAATTGTATTAAAAGGCATAGAAAAGGCATGTAACTAAAGAGACATACTTAGTTTATTAATGGGAAGTCCAATTATTATAAAAAATAGCAATTATCTTTAAATTGACCTACCACTTACAGAAATTTTAATCAAAACCCTATCAAAATTCATGGAAATGGGCCAGGCGCGGTGCCTCACGCCTGTAATCCCAGGACTTTGGGAGACTGAGACGGGTGGATCATGAGGTCAGGAGATCGAGACCATCCTGGCTAAAAAGGTGAAACCCCGTCTCTACTAAAAATACGAAAAAAATTAACCGGGCGTGGTGGCGGGTGCCTGTAATCCCAGCTACTCAGGAGGCTGAGGCTGGAGAATGGCGAGAACCCAGGAGGCGAAGCTTGCAGTGAGCTGAGATTGCGCCACTGTACTCCCAGCCTGGGCGACTGGGCGAGACTCCGTCTCAAAAAAAAAAAAAAAAAAAAAAATTCGTGGAAATTAACAAGCTAGTTCCAAAATAAGTATGCAAGAGTAAAGAGCCAAGAATAATTAAGAAAACTTACAAGAAGAATAAGGAAAGGAGCTTGTTCTCCTAAATACCAAGTCATATTATAAAGCTATAATAATTTAAAAGATATGGTATTATATATAGGTATTAACAAAACCATAAGATCTGGAAACAGATCTGCATATAGGTGGGAACTCAGCCCATGACTAGACTTACTTAAACAAAAAAGAAAGAAAGAAAAATTCTGTGCACTGTGTGCCTGTAGTCCCAGCTACTTGGGAGGCTGAGACAGGAGGATTTCTTGAGCCCAGGAGTTTGAGACCAGCCCAGGCAACACAGTAAGACCCTGTCTCTTAAAAAAATAAATAAACAAAAAAGGCATCTGTAAAGAGTCAAACCACAGAATAGGAAGACCCACATACAATGCATACGATTGTAAAGAAATAGTATCCAAAAGAGAAAGAACACCCAAATCAATAAGAATAGATCTAACCACCCATTCGGGAACTGCCCAATTGGAATAAAGAGGTCAGAAACCCCAAATAACCAATAAAACCGTTAAAAGAGGCTCAATCTCATTAGCAATCAGGGAAATGCATACTCAATCACCAAGAAACATTTCCAATTTATCAGGTTTGGGTAAATCCTGAAGGCTTCTGCCTTCAGTAAAGATACATAAGGACATTCTCGAACACACAGTTCAAATTGCCAACTGTCAATTGAGAAAGCACCAATAAGAACTTTCTCAAAACATGAACAAACTGACCTACACATCTCTTATACTGCAGGATGTATTTTCATGCATTCTGAATGCTTCCCAGTGTTTAGAATATCTTATAAAGCCAAGTGGTGTTTCTTCTAAGCTGACAGAAATACTTCCTTACACAAGAGGGCAGCCATGTTTTCTATTGGTGTAACTGTGCCTGCAAGTCACACAGACCTATCTGGGAAAGTTCTGTGCCGAGCAGAAAGGTGTAGGGGGTTAGAGGGTGGGGGAATGGCTTACTTGGAGCAGTCTTCACAAGCAATATTCCCTGTAGTCTCCTTGATGGTGCGCTCAGAGACAAATGCCGGATATTCAGTATCACAAGGCTCCAGGGTCTGTTTCAATTTCTGGGCTGTAGGGATAGGGGGACAAAAAAGGTAAAGAATGCAAGGCACAGGCTCAATATTGTGACTGGCAGCCCACAGCAACCCAGAACACAGTTCCGCTTCTGCTGCTCTGTGATTTTTCTAGCACAGCATAATGCATTATTTTCTAATTAGTCAAGTGATTTCATCTGCCAAGCAACTCTATAAGCTATAATTCCTCCAGCAGTTGTGTTGGCTTGATCAGCTATCATTTATGCATCACAAGAATTCAAATTTCTGGGACAACATCAGTCACCGGGTCTCTGACCTCAGACTTACTCAAACTTAGCAACAACACATATGTATATCTGAATAAATGTATAAGTTATACCATATTATTTAGGGTGAGACAAAGGTCATGATACAATTGCATGGTTTTATTATAGAAAGAAAATTGAAATATGAAATAGTAAAATACGTAATGTCTTTGAAGCACAGCCATGAAGCAAATCCTACTATTATGAAGCTCTTTGTCCAATAATATGCCATGTCAATTTTAAAGCACTAAATAACCCTGGTACGTGGATGAGCACATAGTAGGTGCTCAGTAGAGGCTTGGCAGTTGATTGTCCAGTGGGCAAGATCCAAAACCTCACTAGGTCTCAATTTTCTTATTTGTAAATTGAGGATAATCAAGTTCTATCAGAAGTTGATGTGAGAAGTAAATAAAACAATGTATGTTGACTACTTAGTACAGTACCTGAAACATAATGAGTGTTCAGTAAATGTCAAATAATGATAATAATAATAATAGCAACAATAACAAAGGTAACAGTATCATTCTAATGAAGCCATTGTGACATTATAACGTTGACAATAATGATAGACACTACAGCATAGTGGTTAAGCGTGAAGGCTCTGAAGTAAGAGAAGTTTGGAGTACGAATCCCTGCTCTGCTACTTCTAGTGAATCCTCACCGTTCTCATCTGTAAAATGGGGATGCTAGTAGTACAGGTACTCTTCACAGGAGGTCTACTTGTTAGCATTTCCCCCAAGAGAATGCTTATAGATTTCCAATACCACAGTTTGTACAAAGCCTTCAGTTATTGTTTTTGTAGGAAAAAAAAATTGTATTTACATTTACAATTCCAAAATTCAATAGGATTTTAACAAAACTGTGTGTGAACAAAGTCTCATGTTACATTCCAAATATAACTGGTTGGTGGGCAGAACTACAGGGAGATGTTTTGTCCACTCTCCATGTGGGATGCTGCTGGCACTAAGTGAGCCGTCAGTGCTACTGCACAAAAAACAACTGTGGGGTAACAACGAAACACTTGTGGGGTGATCAGGAAGCGATTCTAAGCATTTGTAGTATCCTAACATGATGGTTTCTTATATGTAGGCTTTTCACTGAGGTTTAACTATTTTGAGGAAATTGGTTGAGGGTTTGGGGTTGGAGCACAATGCATTTAATCTTTATTATTTAAAACAAAAGGAAGTAGACTCTTCATCAGCTCTTTCACTCAGAAAATAGAATTTTCAGTAACTGATCGCTGACATTAAGGGGAAATGTCTATAGTAACCTCACAGGATCGTTCTGAGGAATAAATGAACAAAAGCATGTACAGCTCTTAGCAGAGTGAAGCATGCACGCACTTTTGCCCACCTACATGCATACACACAGCCTTCATGAAATGCTACTCATTAGCAAGTGTTACCACCCACAGGCCAGAGGCTGGCTAGTTCTGTAGTAGCTAAAAGCACCAATTCCAGGCAATGAATCCTGCCACTGCTGTGCGACAGCAGGTGAGCTTTCAACCGTTTTACACCTTAGTGTCCTCATCAGCTAAATGGGAATAGCAGTACCAAGCTTGTGTGGTTGTTTGAGAATCAAATGAATTACATGGACAGTAGCTGTCACACTGTGAGTGCTGCTTAAGTGTATGTTTTTACCACCATCGCGACTCATGCTGTACTTGTGCTATTTCATGGAGTCAGGCTTTTTGAACCATCACTTTTTGGTAGAAAAGGCAAGCAAATGGCTGCCTCTCTGACTCCTGACTCCACTGATTGTACAGTGCTGGTAGTCATTCTCCAGAAAGGCCAGGTTCCAAACACTGTCCCTTTGTCCCCAAGATGCTAGCTCATTGGACAGAACATTAAATGCCTGCTGAATACAAGAATGACTCTCCTGAATAGTGTTTTCAAACATAAAATAGAATACGATGGACCAAAAAATGTGAGAATCTCTGTCCCTTATGACACGCTTCTTTCTTGCCTTTCAGGTGGAGGGTAAGGTGAATTTTAGGTGCTCCATGCCCAACAGTAACAGCACAGAAGAGCCACGTGGTAGGAACATCAGTCTCTTCCCACATCTTTTTCAGTGCCTCTGTTTTGTAAGGAGGACATCTTTGTTTGACAGTAGGGAGTTTCTACCACCTTTCTATCTTTTACACTCCTTCCTTTCATTTGCTCTCCTCTCCCTTTAAGCTGAAGAGGCCAAACACAAAGCTCATAGGATCTGGCTAAAATTTGGTAACACTTTTTATTTTCATGGTTCTTATTTTCACAACTGATTTCTCTGTGTGGCAAATCATTCTGGTTTTCAGTTTATAAAACTTTCTTTTCATAGTTAAATTATTTGAATTTAAAAAAGTGAGTCCCTTGAAATGAAATAAAGATTTAAGTATACAATAGCATAGGTTATAAGTGGAAGCGGCACAAGCATGCAGATGGAATATAAAAACCTAATGATGGCATAACAGCTAAATTTATGGAGAAATTGCTGCGTTCCAGATGCTGTCCTGCTTAATATGTATTAATTTATTTAATAGTAAAATATGACAAAATTAAAAAATAAACTATGAGGTATGAACAGTTGTTATCTGTTTTGCAGATGGTGAATGGAGGAAAAAGAACGAGGGTAAATTGCCCAAATTCATCCACTGAGTATGTGGCAGAACCAAAATTTGACCTTGGGCTGTCTGGCTCCAGCGTGTGTATGTTTAACTGCTCTGTGAAGTTCGGCCAATGAAAAAAAATAAGAAAGGTCTTTGGGTCAGGCTGAGATAGGCAGCACACGTGATTTGAATAAGCCTGATAATTGCACCATCTCTAATTCTAATTGTCTGGGCCCAGTTACGATGGAATGGGTCCAGTACTCTCAATGGTGAGACTCATTTGGCTCTGATTCTTTCTGGGGATGAAATTCTTTTTCCTTTGACAATCGTAGGGCACTCCATGCTGATATAGTGATAAACCGTTGGGTCTATTTGCAGCACGACTATTGGCTGGAAGTTGCTTGATGTGCTTTTGGGAAACGTGAATTATCCTATAAAGCCATGGTCACATTTAATTTAAATAACATGGCTAGAACTTACTTTGTCTAGAGTGCTATGGAAAACACCACATATATGTGCAGTCACTATTATTTATCTATGGAGTTTCAAACCAATAACCGAGGCTGCTTGCAATCTACTGGATACTATTTTTGTTGTTGTTGTTGGAGACAGAGTCTCACTCTGTCCCCCAGTCTGGAGTACAATGGTGTGATCTCGGCTCACTGTAACCTCCACCTCCCGGGTTCAAATGATTGTCCTGCCTTAGCCTCCCAAGTAGCTGGGATTACAGGCATGCACCACCATGCTTGGCTAGTTTTTTTGTATTTTTAGTAGAGACAGGGGTTTCACCATGTTGGCCAGGCTGGTCTCGAACTCCTGGCCTCAGTGATCCGCCCATCTTGGCCTCCCAAAGTGCTGGGATTACAGGTGTGAGCCACTGTGCCTAACCCTATTGGATACTGTTTTAAGTCTTAGGCACTCAGAACTCACATCTTACAAAGCTGTAGGTTGTCAAGGATCACTGAGCTCAGTTTGGCTGACTCCTTCTTTTTCCAGAAGGGAAAAATGAGGTTCCAGAAGCAGACACTGCCTGCCGTGGGTCCCACAGAGAATGACTCATCACAATCATCATTAACTCACAAGCAAACCACCACCACCTTCACCATGAATCTTAACTATGCACTTACTACATGCCAAACCCTGTGCCAGGCCCTTAGCATGGGCAAAATCCTCATCACCACAGAATAAGCAAGTCCTTGCTACTGTCCCATTTTGCAGATGAAGAAACTAAAGCTCAGAAATGAAGACACTCGCCCAAGGTCACACTGCAGTGAGTGATGGGGTCCAGATGTGAGCCTGGCCCTCATGTCACCATGAAGCACCATGACCTATCACCCACTCACAATGAAGCACCCAAGGGAGCATCCGCACAAGTGAATTTCTTTACTTTTCCCTTAGCAACAAATGTCCCTGATGAGAATAACTGACTTGGGTTCACAGTAATTATGTGCAGACAATTGGCAATGAATAGATTTGCCATTTGAAAAGCCTTCCTCTTCTTTTGTTTCTGTGAATGCACCCCTGTTCACAACCGGGTGCCAGCAAGCTCTGTTCTCTTTGTGCAACTTCACCAAAATGATACCTTTGTGATAATCAAGCAGAAATGGGCTTCCACAGTCCCCTTCATTAAGGAAATGGAGCAGATAAACAGTGTAATTATGGATTCCATTTTTAACTAAAACAAAGATGTATGTCTCAGCTCAGGGTCTTTATCTAGTGAGGGAATGGTAAATTTAGAATGAAGAAACCTTGCAAGCCAATAGCATATGGTGCCTGAAACATTTCCCTCCTTATGCCGGGTCTGGGATTTATATTTACATTTAATAAGATATCCCAATGACAGCAATCCTGTGGATGAATGAGTTCACCTTTGCTTCTTTTCATTTCTTCATCCATAAAATGGAAAAAGTCATATGATGCCCAGCAGAGGGCTGTCGGCTGGAATGAGACAATTCCAGTGCAGTAGCTGCGGCTCTCGCTGTCATCATTAGCTGAGGGAGGTCTTGGCTTAGGTCTGAGTCCATTGCCTCTTAGCTGTCTGACTTAGGTGCTTCAGAGAGGCTTGGCAGGAAATTCTAGCAGTCCCCACCTCTCAGGTATGTTGAACGGATCTGAAGATAATCTATGTGCCAGCTCTCTGGAAATGGCAAAGCACTTATGTAGCAGCACACCATGCATCAACGATGCAATTAGGTGACAAGGTCTCTCTGTAGTCTGTGGAAAGGAGCTCTCACAGTCTGGCAGTGGAGTCAGAGGACATGCTGAAATGATCTATTCAGGGTCCTTTCTACAAAGCTCCTTAAGACAGAAAATAGAGAACTAAAGCACCATATTATTCCTTTCAGCTGAAAACTGGACCACTTTTGGTCCAGCTGGGGTGGGGGTGGCAAAATTGCAGAATGGGAGCCTTCACACGTATCTCTCAACATCGCAGGTGCAGAGATCACACCCTGCTCCCTCAGTCACTGTCCCCTACGCTGCACCCCTCAGTCGGGGCCAGGGTTTCTCAACAGTGGCACTATTGATATTTTGAGTGGGATATTTCTTTGTTATGGGGGCTGTCTTGTGTGTTGCAGGATATTTAGCTGCATCCCTGGCCTCTAGCTACCAGATTCTAGTAAGAACCCTCCCTCCCATGCTGTGACAGCAAACATGTCTCCAGTCATTCCCCTGGGAGGCAAAACTGCTCCCATTTGAAAACCACTGTTCTAGGCAAAGATCATAGTGAATGGCATTCAGTAAAAATTCTAGAATCCATAGGACCAAAATAACAGTATGGCTAGATGTCTGTGGTGGCAGGTCACGGAAAAGGGAAACAGGTCAAGGTGAGGATGAGGGAAGTGGGAGTGAACGCAGACACGAAGAGAAGGGAACGTCCTCACTAGGTATGAAGAAGAATGCCAAAAAGTAAACCACTGAAAATAACAAGCTTGCTGCCCTCAGACCTGTGCAAACTCCTAAGAAATAACCAGACATCTCAGTTAAAAAAACCACCGCCACCACCCAAAGCATGAGCGCCCACCCACCATGCATGGCGTACTTGCACAAGGGCTTGGCATGCATTGCTTAATCCACTTCTCACAGCCACATTATGTCTATTGTTTCCTCTGCTGACAAACGGAACCAAAGCCGAGAGAGACCAAGTGACTTGCCCAGAACCTCACAGCAAGCAAGAAGCAGAGAAAGGCTACCCAGGGTTCCTAACCACTAAGTTCAAAAGCTGCTACGGCCTCTGAGAGCTCACAGTTTGATTCAGAGGGAGAGGGGATTTGTCTCCAGGTCACTGGTGCCACAGAGAGAGCAGCCATTTAACCAACTTGCAACCCATTTTCTTGGCCTCTATTGATTTTCTTATTTTAAAAAAATATCATTTATCTCTCTTCACTCCTATTAGTAAAACTGTGGAAAAGTGAGTCAAATAAGAAAAGCAAATGGTAAAAGATAGCCAAGTGCCCATTTAGTAGGTCCCTCCTCATCTTTCTTTTTTCAAATCATGTGCAATTTCAACAAAAGCAAGTTGACACTACAGGTAAAATTTCCTTTCGGGGACAAGACAGTCCTCTTCGCCTAACTCATACGTTGGTGTTTGTTTATTGACTCCCTATTTCCCATACCAACTGCTGACCCTAATTAGCTCCCTATCTCCTTCCTCCCACCATTTTATGTGTTTTTGTGTATATACAGTTTTGTATCTTGGGCTTTGTCTTGTTTTGTTATAATTTCATGAGCATTTCTTAATTTCATCAAAAAGTTTTCAGAAACAGAATAAATTGTCTTTCTGTGGATGGGTTGCAATTTATTTTAAAACGGCCTTTATTGTTAGACATTTAAATGTTACCAGTATTTGCAATTACAAATTCCCTGGTGATGATCATCCTATCATAGAAACCTTTGTTCCCATCCAGGTTTATGTCCTCAGGCTAATTTATACAAGTGGGATTTGGGGCAGTCACTGTCACTCAGTACCCAACCCAGCAGGGAGGAGCAAGAACTGAGTCCAAGCCCTGGGGGTCACCAGACCAATGTGCGTGTGTGTGGATGCAAGCAGAGCACAGGGGCCCTGCTCCACTGGGCTGTCAGTGTCCCAGGGCAGAGCCAAGCCTGGACAGGCATGGATTAGGCTCCCAGTTATCAGAGAGTGAACTATGCGGGCATCAGCAGGGGCAGGACTCACTCAGCAGATTCTGCTCCATCTCATGTTCTAAGCAGAAATCAGAGAGTTCTTGGATTCCAGCAAAATGAGCCTATTTGTAAGTTACAAAGCCATGACTATAGTGACCCTAATGGTCATGCTTAGCACCAGAAAGATTTGTTAGGATATTGAATCAGCAAAGATAAAGCACCTACTGTGTGCTCAGCACCAGTTAGATGTTAAGAGAGAACAATATTTAAAACATAGCTCCTACCATCAAGAAATGCTAGGTTAGCGCAAAACACACACAGTGAGGCAATAATGTTAAAGAAGACATAGGATAACGCATGAGCTGACTGGGGCAGGAGCAAGAAGAAAATGTTCATTCTGCCTGAGGGAGTTGAGGAAATCCTCACAGACTGGGATCTTAAGGGAAAGGAAAGGGAATGTTAGATTAAAATAGATCCAGCATCTGGGGAAATGCTGATATGTGACTAATCAATCTCTTTTTTAAAAGACAGATAGTTAGAAATAATAAGAATGGTAATAGCCTACTAGTCCCTGGCCTCCCAGGTGGGAAAATGAACATGAATGCATGAAGGCAAGAAAGAACAGAGTGTATCTGAGAAACAGCACGTGAGTGCGCAGGCCTGGGGCAGACTGCTGGAGCCAGCGTTCATTCAGGATCACTGGATTTGTAGGCAATCATCATCACTGTCATGGTCATAGTGTCACCACTGTTATAATTACAGATACTTTCTTTTATTTATTGATTTTCCTTCCAACTTTTATTGTAGGTGTGGAGGGTACATGGTTTTTTACATGGGTCCACTGCATGTCTCGAGGGTTTGGTGTACAGATTATTTCAGCATCCTGGTAGTCAGCGTAGTACCCAATGGGTCGTTTTTCCATCCTCACCCTCCTCCCACCCTCCACCTCAATTAGGCCCCAGTGTCTGTTTTCCCTTCTTTGTGTCCATGTTTACTCAATGTTTACCTTACTTATACGTGAGAACATGCGGTATTGCTACTATTTTTTGAGGACTTATGTTTCAGTCACTGTGGTCAGCACGTAACATGATTTCTCATAGCATTCAACACACATGCACACAGACATACAGACACACAGACTCACTTCCTAAGATAAATATTATTTTCCCCACTGTGCTTAGCAAAGGGAAACTGAGCCTTGGAGACAGATCAGCTGACATGCCCAAGGTCAACCTTGAGCCAGGACTGAAACCTATTCTGATCTAACTCCACAACCCATGCCTCCAAGAGTCTCTACTAATTACACCCTCCTCAAATCATCAAAGGTATTTGAGGAGGGAGAGGAATGTCATCAGATTTATGTTCTATGAGGGTAACTGTGAAAATAAAAATAGAATGGCTAATCATTCATTTAGCCTGAGACACAGGCAGTGTGTCCGTCTCTCTTCTATTTCAGCATTGCCCATGAGCTTTCTGAAGAATTTACCTGTGCAATGTATGACCTCAAAGCCTTAGTCAAGGAAACAGGTCAAGATGTACATTCAACATGGGCTGAATGAAGCCTGTGGAATTCTGTGTCAGACTAGATAGCACAGCACTTAGCACAAAGGGTGTCTTTTTGCTGACAGAGCTGAAAAATCATCACTTTGTCCTGGGGAATTTTCTGAGCCAGCACATCCCTGATGAAAAGTAGCCGGTGAACCCAGCGCTCATCCCTCCAAGCTGGGAAACAGAAACCAGTTGCCGCTCACCTTTAGCTGTCATATCGGAGTGCCACCAACTGCAGAGGTTAAACTCCACCAGGAACCTAAACAGATCGTGGAAAAGCCCAATGTTACTTCGTCATCCATGCCTGTATCACAGAACAGTGACTTTCTGTATTCTTCAGCATCGCTTACCTCATTTGAGAACATCACAATTTGCAGATATCAACACAGTTGGCTGAGTTATCACTGAATATTCACTGGGGTTTATCTTTCTTGTGAAAGGCTATTTTATCCCCAAAGCCAGGTTCACCTGGACTCAAAGATTCCTAGATGAGGAATAACCTGCTGTATAGGCTGAAATACTTTCCTCGTTATTGTTCACCAGTTATTCAATCTTAGTATCATCTAATTTGATTCCACAGTAAAAAGCCAATTTCTAATGAGCTTCTCCTCCCTTAGTTCAGAAATACAGATAGAATATTCTCCTCTGCCAAGACTATGATCTATAGTAATGAAAGATGCTTTCAAAATGAATACTGCTACTTGAACTTGTTTAAGCCCCCTCCGTGTGTGTGTGTATAGAGGGAGGTGGAACAGACTTCTCTCTATGAAATTAGGTCTCACTGCAACCTCATAAAAATCAACATTTCTCAATGGCTGGTAAAGAATACAAAAACAATACAAATTATCCTCCAAATAGATGAAGAGAGATCAAAATTCGGTCATTTGTTTTTCAGGCTTATGGCTACTATTCCTAGCAGCTCTCTCTCAATCTAAATCCCACTATTATTGTTAATGTTCTTTCTCTGCCTCATGTGTATATGGAGAATTCAATTCTCATTTGAATTCACAAACTGTATTAAATTAATAGAGGTTGCCTTAAATTAAGAGGACAGTGACTATCCATCAAATGGCATGAAATTTGCCTCAAACCCACAGAAGTGGAGTCTAAGCAGGGGAAATAACAATGAGAGAGTTTGGCGCAACTTAAACAATCTTGTTTACATGTTCATCTATGAAATTCTTCCCTTTTGTGTGACACAGTGTTTCTGTAATGTGTCTAATATCTAGTCTGAAAGTCAAGACTTTCATCTTTGTGCCATTTCAAGTGTTACTTAAGTCATAGATGCAACGAGCACCTCCAAATAAGACCATAGTTTGACAGGAAAAACAATGAAATCACACCTGAGGAAGCCCCCAGCCCTAGCGGACAATCTCACACATCTCCCATTCCTGCACAGGCCAAGGCAGCCAAAGTAGCCTGGTGGACAGTCACAGCAGTGTGCTCTTCTGACCACAGCCCACCCAGGCTGCAGTCAAAACAGCCAGACATCCATGTGAAATTGAACAGTAACCACAATAAGTAAATTTAGTTGTATACTGCAAACTGTTAATCTGCTAAAGTATGACATAATAGCCAAAGGAGTGATCATGAATCACTTAATAAAAGATCATTTTTGGTCTCTGTGTTCAATATTTTGAGCTGTTCAATGAAGTTAGAGCACTAGGAATCTAATGGTTATTGAAAGCATGACTCACAATCTCTAAGTTCACTTTATGATACAAAAAGGAAAATATTAATCGTTTTCAAAAAGGCAGATTTTACTTACAAGACAAGTTCTGTCATGATCCATTTTACTGCAGAGAGGAAGGCATTATAAGGCTGAAGAGAAGAATTCAGTACATTAAAAACAATGTATTGCACACAAAATTTGTAGCTTAATTTAGGGCTTTACATAAGGACAATGTTATTCTTCTAGAGAGATTGATATCATGTTAAAAAACAGTGACGTTCTAGCTAAGGGAAGAAAATTGTTGGATACTGTATCCTAAAACTAACATTTTAAAACTTTGAACTCCACTCCAGTGAGATGTGATTTACAAGTAAAATAAACCTGATCTAATACAAGGGTTATCAGTAGGAGGAAAAAGGAAGTTCAGCACCCGATGCTTAAATCTTTACCCTCTAGGGGCTAATATTTTGAAGCTTAATGCTGAGGGGGCTGGAATCATATAACTAATTTCAAATGGTAATTTGCAGGGCAGCCTCTTGGAAAGGTGATTCCCTGTTCTCCATCACTGTATGTCATTCATTAAAATAAGCAAAAATTGCGTACACCTGATTTTAATGCCGTCCATGAATTATGTAGGATTTAAGCTGCCTTTTTTCACACTTACATATTTGGACTTGAAAAAAATGATAACCATATAAACATGTGATTTTATCCTTGCTGAAAATCCCCTTCACTCTATAAAAGAAGGCATTGAAAGCCTAATCTTTATTTCAGAATATTTTAATTAAAAAAAGCAGTTGGATTGTTTACTCTGTGATATTTCCTATGTGGATAATTCAATTTCCTGAATTCTGGAAAATGCCAAGTCTCCCCCTCAGTTGGTTCTTTGTACCTAGCTATGCCAGTTATGTGACTGGGGTGTGGACTTGAGAGACAGGCAATGACACTAGCAAATCCTGGGCTCTGGGCTCCAGATGTCAGGTCCAGAAGAATCTCAGAACCTTCTGTGGTTGCCTTTAGATATCAGAGAAGTGAAATGCATGCCAAACCCTGGCTCTGCAGCTAGAGCTGCTTAATCCCACCTTCTGAGCATTTTAATTATAAGAACTAGAAGTGAGAATGGAGGAATTATCCAGTTTTAAATGAAACAAGAACAAATTTACATGCCCCCAATCATTCTCAAAACTTTCCCAGTCCGGCCAGAAAGTAAATGTGCAGAACAACAACAACAACAATGCTGAGGCTCTTCCAAGCCCACCCAGATTTCAGACTTGGTGTATCTCTTGCTCTGATTCGACTGAGCGCTTCCACATCATTCCTTGAATCACAGGGTTCTGGGCCGCCAGGATTAGGGTCAGATAAGGATGTGAACTTTTAACAGTTTCCTGAAACCACACTTTGCAGTCCTGAGGTTCTGCCATTACATTTTATGGCTTGAAAAATAATCATCTTGCTTTCAAAAAGACCGGCGTGGTCAGACTATGGGACAATGTTGTGTCTTTGTACCTGCTGGGATGGGTAATGTGGGTCAGGGGGAGGAGAGAGTAAATAAAAGGATTAAGGAAGCTTTGGAGGTTGAGGGGGAAAGAGGGCAGTAGCAGAGGCAGCTCGCTCTGAGGCCAGGGGAAGGCATTCTGTGCCAGGCATTGGCTCAATATATGAATAAACAAAGGGATTATGCAAATATGGGATTAAAAAATTTAAATGCACATTATCATTTAAAAGCATAAAGCCACTAAGCTTTTAAATCTAATGATGAAAACATACCTTAGGAACGTTTAATGTCTGGAACTATTCATGCTAAGGTTAGGGGAGTTGGGTTTAGAAAGACATAGTGAGTCTCACTAAAAAGCTGTATTTTTCAAAATATTCATCCCTTTAGTTGCCTCTCACAAATGTGCCAGCTCTGAATCATTTCTTGCTCCCTCAGTGTAGGAGAACCGTGTTAATTATTTGGTTTTTAAATAATCCCCTTGTAACATCTTACATCTGCAAATTAGAAAGTATATATATTTTAAAGCCAAAATAGCTTTTAAACGTTGTGTTTCAAAAACACATATGACAGACTATCCAGAGGTACACTAGATCTTTTTTTTCTTTTCTGTGGTTTTAGGTATTGCTGGCCAAATTTACATTGTCTATGCATTGTAAATTACATTTTAAATTTGGGAGTAAGTGATAACAGTTAATTTCTGGCCATCTGAAAGCCAGTTTCTAATGGCACAATAGCTATGCTGATTGATCCTCATCTGTGACATCACCAAGGAATCAGCTCCAGGGAAAAGGATGCTGAAACCCAGTGGCATGATTAGGGGAGAGGGAGTATCTGTGATCAAAATGGGAATTAGGACACAAGCTCACAACTCCATTACAAACTAAAAGGAAAAGTTCTGTTGAACAAAACCAAGTTATTTTACATACAAATGGGAGAATTAACAAAACTTCTCCCTTTTTCTATCCATCACAAGGGGGTTGCTGCATTAATCCATCAAAGGCTTTATTTAGACCCATTTTTCACTCATATAATCACTGGATTTGAGTTGAAACAGCAGTGACATTTTTTAATTTTAATTTTTTTTTTTTTTTTTTTTTTTTGAGAGGCAGGCTCGCTCTGTTGCCCAGGCTGGAGTGCAGTGGCATGATCTTGGCTCACCGCAACCTCTGCCTTCCGGGTTCAAGCAGTTCTCCTGCCTCAGCCTCCTGAGTAACTGGGATTATAAGCACACGCCACCATGCCTGGCTAATTTTTGTATTTTTAGTAGAGATGGGGTTTCACCATGTTGGCAAAGGTGGTCTCAAACTCCTGACCCCAAGTGATTCAGCCACCTCAGCCTCCCAAAGTGCTGGAATAGCAGGCGTTAGCTACCGCGGCTGGCCTGAAGTGTTTTTTTAAATGAGTAAAGTCAAAATGTTCCTGATTTTGCAAAAAGATAAACTTGATTACTCCAAAGAGGAAGATAACACTCAGACAGGGAGAAAGACAGAAATATGCAGCTGTTTTCTGGGTGACAGCATAGTACTTACATCCAGGAGGCCATGGGCGCCATCGCTGCTTTCCTTGTTGGCTCTACACATGGCTTGGTAGTCATAAAGGGTAATTCTACAGGAGAAAAATGGAAGGGAGCTTCGCTAAATGAGAAAACATGGGAACCAACTGATGCTATGTACTACAAGGTGAGCAGTCACTATCATCAAGGGCAACAGTGACAAACACCACGCAGCTCTAACGTGGATGATGAACAAGGAGCCCAGCAAAGAACAGTGCTGGAGGCACAGTCATGTTATTACTTGGAATCTGAAGAACAAAGGGAACAAAGGTGTCGGGAAGGGTAGAAGGGGATGAGGACCCATCTAACTTGATGTAACAGTCATTTGGTCTGAAGAAGGATGGTCTGCATTGAGCAAGATATTCCAAAGGGAATGTGCTGTTCTGAACTGGATTCTAAGACCCGGATGGAATTTACTTGGGCCATGTCTCCAAGGGACAGGAGAACCAAGAAGAGCCACTTTGGGATAAAACATGGCAGGATTCTGTGTTTCTCAAGCACCAGGAAGCAGGTTTGGACCAGGATAAGCCCTGCACATTGACAATGTGTGGGAAACCAGTGGCTTACTAATTGTAATCCCTACTCCTTATTGTCACCACCATAAGAGTGAATGTATCTTATTTTGAAAACAGCATAGCTTATGAAACAAAGTGGACATTTTTTTTCCTACATTGGTGATAAAAGTAAAGCTTTCATCCCCATTATGACCTTTACACAGTTGCAAAAATGTTTTACTTTAACATTATTCAATGTACTTTAATTCCCCCACCAACAATTCTACAAAGGAAAAGTGAATGGCAATTTCTGGTAGCATGTGTTGGGACTCAGAAACCATTACCCTAAAATATGGTGCTTCGACATGAAGCAGTCTCAAGGTTTCTCCGACCTTGCTCCCTGTCTCCCTTACTCCACAGTCTCTTAATCCTGTCTCTCCCAAACCACAGGATGAAGCTGTTCTCTGAAGTTCCCTTTTCTACCTAAAAGCCAGATCTGCCAAAGAGGAATACAATTGCCTTTCCTGACATTTCATTCACCAGAGAAGAGAAGATTACAACTCATATCACAGAGGAAGAGACTGAAAATTAAACACCGCACCTAGAGCCCAGACCAACTTCTCCCCAACCATTGTCAGCTCTCCATCCTATTCAACTTCCATTGAAATTATTTACTAACCATTGTCTGAGCAGTAGGACCACTCGTTTCCCCCTCAAAGTCATTTATTATCCCTCAAGTAGCCCTATTTCCCCCTCTCCCCTCCCTCTATGAAGATGGGCATTTAAGCATCTGTACCCCATTGGGTTACTGGGTAACCATTCTACTATGATTCCCCGTGTTGTCCATATTAAAATACATTTTGTGTGCCTTTTTTTCCTATTCACCTGCCCTTTGTCAGTTCATTTTCAGCAAACCTTCGGAGGGTGATGGGGCAAGCTCTCCCTCTTTGCCCCTATACATGTTCCAGTATTTAGATGGCGTGAACACCTTATCCCATGCTTGAAAGGTATAGCCAAAGGAGTCTGGCATTCCCACCCTTCCCTTCGGCATCCCCTCCCACCATGCCTAGCACCCCGAAGGAGAGACATGTAAAGTCCAGCCTGAGTTACATAACAACTGCCAGATGAGATTTTAAACACTTTAATACATGTGCTTCTACATGACTGGATGAAATTCTCCCCACAGGAATTCCTTCCTAGAATAGTACAATGGTTAATGTTCAGTGCACTTACTGCTGTGTTGGAAAGACCTCTAGATGTAAAAGCTCCATGCAGCAGGATTGGTGTTGGCTCTGTTTCACACCTACCTCTGGCACCTAGTACAGCACCCAACATACAGAAGGCATTCAGTTTTAAAAGGGTGAATGCATAAATGATTGCTTGATTGCACGAATGTTACACAGATGACGACACAACTGAGAACAAAGGGGCCAACTGCAAAATGTGATCTGGAGGCCTCCTTATCTGGACAGTAAGTTACGGATATTACTGATAAATGGATTAAACACAGTCATTTGTGGGTACCAAGCAGAAAACCAGCCACATTTGACCAAATGAAAGATGAAAGCCAGCTCCTAACCAGCAGCAGCACACAGCACTCCTTGGGCAGCAAAGCCCAAGGGGATACCAGTGGTCACGTAGCCAGTCCTCAAGGTCTTTTCTTCATCAGAGTATTTCTTCACTGTCCTCTGGCTTTTTCCTTACACAGATGCAAGCAAGAAGCTTTGAAGCTTTGTTGATACAAACAGAAACAAAGACCATAAATCAGCCAAACATTAGGCTTGGGGATGTCCCCGCACAAACTTCTCACAGAAATGCTCTCACCATTGACATAGTCCTAGCACTAACCCAGACACCGGGATATGTCACAGACTCAACTGCAGACCACAATGGACAACTCTAATTAGTCCCTGACTGGCCCGCCATGCCACGATCTCCATCCTCACTCAGGAGATTTCTACAGGTACCCCTGCAAGGACTTTCTAGCATTTGTCAAGAATTGGTATTGACTTATCCTTTTCCCACTGCCCAACGCTGTCTCTACAGCTAAAACATGTGCCAGAGCCAGGTGAGAGGCAGCATGGGGTTGAGAGGAACGTGCATGTACTTGGAGTCTCATAGCCATGGATGCAGAATGGCCATGGTTTCAAAAGTTGGTCCTGCCGTATATTCAGGGTGCATTCTCTCTCTCTCTTTTTTTTTTTTTTTTTTTCCTGAGATGAAGTCTCACTCTCTGTCACCCAGGCTGGAGTGCATTGGCGTGGTTTCGGCTCACTGCAACCTCTGCCTCCCAGGTTCAAGTGATTCTCCCACCTCAGCCTCCGGAGTAGTTGGGACGACAGGCGCATGCCACCACACCCAGCTAATTTTGTTGTTTTAGTAGACATGGGGTTTCACTATGTTGGCCAGGTTGGTCTCGAACTCCTGACCTTGTGATCCTCCTGCCTCGGCCTCCCAGAATGCTGGGATTACAGGCATAAGCCACTGTGCTCGGTCTCCAGGGTGCATTGTTGAGCAGCTTGCTGATACTCTTCAAAGGCTTCGTTTCCTGACTTATTAAACAGTTACAGAGACGTTCTGAGATCTAAATAACCAGCTGTGTAGAAGTACACTGAAAAATGCTCTAAGTGTGCCAACTTTGTTAAGATTTTTACAACAGAAGACTGATTTTATTCTTTGTTAGCGTTTGGGCTCTTAAAGCTGTGCTGTTCCCAAAGGCTCAAGGGAAGGCAGTGTGACACGGTGAAAATGCCATCTTTGAAGTCAGTAATACCTGAGCTCAAATCCTAACTCATCCACTTATAACAATGCCTTTTTAAACCTCTTGGTGCCTCATTTTCCTATCTGTGAAATGGTGAGAATAATGGCTACCTTATAGGGCGGTCACAGGGTTAAATAAAGTTATCTATGTGTTACATTCAGCACAGTGCCTGCTAGACAGGAAATATTCAACAGGAAGCATGGCTATAGCTGCTGTTATAATTATTGGTATCTTTTCATTGCCACTACTAATTAATGAGCTAGTGTTTAATGCAATGGGAATTGACACAGGCATTACCCAGCTGGCTGAAAGATGAACAAGGCTCCTGGTGTTCTTAGCTCACTGGCACAGACAATGCAGAGCAAAATCCATGCTTGCTACTGCAATACAAGGACACCATCAGAAGCTGTGCTGGTGTTACCAAGAGATGATGTAGGAACTTCTGTCCATGGGTTTCTTAGCGGAGGGCAGTGATAGCAACAGCTGATGTCTACTGAACTCTGTTTAGCAACCAAAAGCCAGGTACTCCTCTATATACATCCCTACAAGATAGATTATAATCATCTCCATTTTACAGAGGGGAAAACCAAGTCTTAGCCAGCCTACATAAATATTCCCAAATTCACATAGATTACTGGTGACAGAGCCAGATGTAGTAGGGGGCCAAGCTGAATCCACCTCCTTTTGTTCTCTGCTCAGAAGCAGGCTTTGGTAGATTCTAAGAAATGCTTAGACTTCAGACCTGTTCCCCAGCCCAGGGTCTTATTGGAATGTCACAAGAAACGCTGCCCAAGATAAGGTCTCATAACCAATGTCCAGAATCAACTTTCAACCCAAGCTGAAGGGTTAATGAGGAGTCACCAGGCCAGACTGGACCAGTTGGCTGTGCTTGTGAATACCTCTTACCATGGTAACTACTCTGACAGATGGCAGGAAACTCAGGATTCTCCTTGGATCATTTTCAAAGGCTCTAGTTTACGTGTTGGGGCTAAACTAAATTGCTCCGGGGCAGCCCCCAGGCCAAGGTTCCTGTCTTTTATTTATTGATTTATTTTTAAATATTACTTTAAGTTATAGGATACATGTGCAGAACGTGCAGGTTTGTTACATGGGAATACATGTGCCATGGTGGTTTGCTGCACCTATCAACCCATCATCTAGGTTTTAAGCCCCATGTGCATTAGGTATTTGTCCTAAGGCTCTCCCTCCCCTTGTCCCCCACTCCTCTATTTCAAAAGGAGGCTTTCCTGATACTATTGCCATTGAGGAGGTTACAAAATAAGCCTTCCCCGTCTTCTCCACACTTGGACAGCTTTAACTAGATGTTGCAGAAAGAGACTTCCAGATTATTACCCTTTTTGAAGTGATTTTGTTACTGTTTTAAATAACTCCATTTTGCGGCTACCTGTATCCTGCTCGGCTGATTATAGTTAAAGAACATGATAATTGCCTGCTTTCATTTGACTCTAAAATCAGCTCTGAGAATCATGCCCAGCCCAAGGCTGGTGCTGTGTGCAGCTGCACTCAGCAGTGGGGGTGTATTCTTATTACAGATAACATGCCTTAATCCCCATGACATCACCACCAGGCCACTCCAACCGACCTTATCATTAGCATCACTGTGTGCCCACACGGATGGGTGGAACTTTGAAACTTTAAACTTTCACAGAAGGCAGATACGGCCTCTGAAGAAGCAGCTCGAAGCAACGCAAACAAAGCCTGGTAGCCCCGAACCCATGCTGGGTAGAGCCTTGGATGACAAACTCTTGACATTAAGACATGTTTAAAGTCATTTTGC